GAAAGTTATGGAGCAGACAAGAAAAGGGGAAATTTCAAGTTTTTAATGACACTAATAAGAAGAATTAAGAACAAGAATAAACCTATATTTAGAAATTCCAATATGTAATAATTCTTATAGCTGTTAAATTAGGTAACAGGAAAGGATTATAGATCCTATACAAAATCTGACTTACGGATTACAAAAGTGGACAAAAAATACTTAGTTTGGCTGCAGACATGCAGAGGAAATTTGGTAATCAAAAAAATTAGCTAACTGCATTCTAAGACTTAAATTCAATAATCATTAGGATACATTTGTCAGAAATTTCAGAATAATCTTCATAGTATCTCAGATATGAGAAAGCAAGAGTGGGAAATAAAAGTACATACCAAACAGAAAGTCACCACATACACTCACTTGCCTTAAAAAGGACTGAAAGATGGATGCATTTTATCACAGCCAATAGACAATACCTTATCCTATAAATAAGATTTTTTGTTTGATTTTCTTCTATGTTTTTCATTAAGGGAAGAAACATTTCCAAATTTAAGAAGATAAAATGTTTTCCAAATCTCAAATAGCAACATTCAAGATCACAGTATAGGGTTTATTTTGCCATGCGTTCTCTCATCTATTTCAACCCCGAGTCACCTTTCCAGCTCAAATTAGAAGCCAGAGCTGGATGTTTCTGAGCTTTCCATTGCCTTGCAGGCTAGAAAGCTGTCTGATTCTTGTTCATTTGACAGATATTTTTCTGTCTTATTTTAACATGCATTGCTTTCAGCACACAAAATATCAGGCAAGGCTTTGCTGGAAAGAGCTCTCTTGTTGGGAAAAAGCCCAAGCACCAGAATGTTCTTCTGACTTTGCACAGCAGGAATCAGAGAGCCAATGCCCATCTTGGCAAAAGCTGGCCAGGATTAACATGGTGGCTGATGGCCAACAGTAACTGCCTGACTGAGCACCAGTGTACCACTGACTTCTACTGCATTCAAAGGGCAACATTTGCAGTTTATGAAACATTTGGGGAAATAAAAATACAAAAATTTATAAGCATAGACTCTTATTAGTATCTTCCCTCCAGATGAAGAGAGGAGAAACACAGGCTTAAAAAATGTTCCGCTCAGGTTCACATGTCCACAGCATCCACAGAGGATTCTGCTGTGACTAATGCTTTATATTCTTTCTGTGCATTCTTTCCTTCCCAGAACACTTGAAGGATAAGTTAGAAGAATACATGGCTCGGTTTTCCAAAGTGAGAATTGTTCGCACCAAGAAAAGGGAAGGACTCATCCGAACCCGACTCCTGGGAGCTTCTATGGCCAGAGGAGAGGTGCTGACCTTCCTGGACTCTCACTGTGAGGTCAACGTGAACTGGCTGCCCCCACTCCTTAGTGAGTATGCTCTGCTGCCATTGGTCTCACTGTGGCACCCTGGGAGCCAGGGGAGTTATCGGAATCAGGTGCCTATAGAAGGATCTGATCTGTTTATTCTGTAGTCAAAACTAGAGAACCCACGTATAATTTCATCCACAGGATCCTTGAACTGTATCTTAATCACTGCCAAGGACAACTGGGTAACTAGAAAACTGCATTAAATTGGCATTTCAGATAGGACCAGCTGCCATCTACCTTAAGGTTAGAAAGGCTTCTTTTATCTTAAGCCCTTTTTTTTTTTAATTTCAGTTACATCCACTGGGTAAATGCTAAAAGTAAAACAAATTCCAAAACTGTTTTATAGTCATCCTATAATTACAATAAGATCAAAATACACATGTACATGCATATACATATACACACTTGAACAATTATTACAAGATTAAGAAAAGAAAGATAATTATTCAGCCCCAGAGCATAAAGTCTAAGTGCTTTGACATTTTCTAGGAATTATAATGTCATTATCTTTCTGTTTTTCTTTCCACTCCTGTTATATCCCTAAATATATAATTTCCCCATACTTCCATAAAATCCCTTAAACACTGAGAACTGCTCCTCCAATGATGATGTGTCTTAAATATTCAGTGTATGGCTAAGAGGAGGGAAGAAAGGAGACCATTTCACATCGCACTTGAGCAATGTGAATGTCATTGAAACATGAGCAACCCTAATGTCATTCGAGCTAGACACTTTCAGTGGGACTCAGGTCAGGCTTCCATGTTGTTTTCTTATTTTACAATGAAGTCAGATAGAAAGTACTACTGTACCTAAGAAATAAACTGCATACCTAAAAAAACTTCTTCCTAGAAATTCTAAACACTTATGTACTGCCCTTTTTCCTATCCTTTCAGATTTCTCCAAATCAGCTTTTCTTGTAACTGTAAGAATAAACAATGGCCTTTTTAATAGCCACCTCAGAAGGAATGATCTCTTACCGACCACCGTGTAAGATTTTAGCTTCAACCAGCCAAGTTCCATCAGCAAAAGTGAGAAGGGGGAATCAGCTGAAACCATATAGGATTTAAAACACAGCACTCAGCAACTGACACCCTCCATCACATCACCTAGTACACATGCCCCTGTACAGGTGACTGTCCAGCCATCCTAATCAATAGTCTCAGTGCCACAACAACCAGAGACTCCTCTGAGCCTTTAATTAAAAGTGCCTTATCCAAGCACATAGATAGCAATTTAGAGTCTCTACAGCAATGGCGAGATTCCCTGGAACAGAATTTGACCTGTATGCTATTGAATACTCAAGCAAGTCAGCAAAAGGTCTAATTTATTTATGAACTAAAGCAATCCCTAAATGCCAATTATCAAATCTCTGATTGTTAGCTATGATTCTAACAGTAAAACAAACAGGAAAAAAAGGAAAGACTGAGAATAAGAGACATCCACAACCCACTTTTTCTCATTAAAGTATTTCATTTCCTGTAGGCCTGATGGATAAGAAATGATTTAAGCTCGGGATCACTATCTTTTTTTATTTTCCTCTATCAGTGTCTTGACACATCATCCAAAATGAAAAAACAGGCGGAGTCACATAGCTTCTTGGTTCATTTTTCACCTTGGGATTATACCTGAATTTCAATTTCCTATTAAGAGTCTGTTTGTTTGATCCCTGGAAATTGAAATGTAGGCGCAAGCCTTGGATGAAAAATTAGTCATGCAGCTTTCACCCTAAGCTCGTGCAGCTAGATGAGAGCTGAAAGGAAATTTGAAGGGAACGTTGACAGTTAATTTAACAGACTCTTTCTCTTCAGGTCACCTTGGGACTCCTTGTTGGTCAAGGAACTTGTAAATCAACCTGATTCTGAATTTGATGGAATAAAGTCACTGAAACCATAATACTAAAATACCCTCAGAGGTGATAGAGAAAATATTTCCAGGGTAACTCTGATGGTCTCCTCTGTCAAAAATATCTCTGGGGAAATGCCACTTAGATAAAATTAAAACTCATGATAAGGTTTACCCCAGTGAAAATGGATGCTTACAGAGCCCACAAGGGAGGTTGGTTGATTTGTAATAGTTCATCTACTAATTAGCTGAAAATAAGATACATACAACTTCCAGGTTCTCTGAGGCTTTCTGGGGCCATGCTATGCTATCTAAGCTTGCAACCCTTTCTTTCCATCTTATTTTTCCACCTTCTATAGCACTATGGAACTTAGTTATTTATTTTATTTTCTAGTTGGTTTTGCTCAATTCCTGAAGATAGTTGTGTTTGTGGTATTGTTTTCTGTAGTAGCCTTAGGACTTGGACATTGACTGGCACCGAGTTTTTAAATCAGTAAATAATTATTATAACATGAATTAATGACTGGGCTTGTAGATCTTCAGGGGAGATGTTCTACAGGACTTTTTTTTCTTTCCACACTCTACTTTATCAGTGTCATAAAAATGTCACCTGTTATTAGAAACAATAAACCTATTTGCTTCCTGCCCTGTGCTTAGTAAAAACTTCCAAAGAAAATGGGCAGTTTCCTCATTGTAAGAGTTGATCCCTGACACACATTACACTTGCCTCAGGATCTCTGAGGAAAAAAAAATACAGAAATAACCAAGCCCCATAATATTTCTAAATGATATCCTTTGTTTAATGTCAAATGTCACATCCAAAGGTCTTCCAAATAACAAGAAAGCAGGTGTTCATGCTTAAATACTCTGCCTGTCAGACAGTATTGGTTTGTTGTAATAAATATGGATCAAACACATGCTCTTGAGAAGATACTTCATACACCGCTATTCTAGATGCACCAAGGTATGTAAATGCAAGTTGCCAGTGTCGGCTGTTAATTCTATCATAATAAAAGTATCTAGGTGAGAAAGAAAGATGCTATAACTAAAAAGCAAAGGAAATCACCTTTCTGCTGGAAGAAGCATGGCAATCTAGAAAGGTAGGTTTGGGAACTGGCAAATTAAGCAGAGTTGCATCCTGTTATTCCCCAAAGTTTATTGACCTTTGGCAAGTTGTTTAACTTCTCTGTGTTCAGTTCCCTTGTCCAGAAACTGAAAATGAAAACAATATCCACTTTTCAGGGTCACCAGAAGTATTAGAAATGGCACAAATATAAGTCACTTAGTAATTGCTTGGGAATTCAATAACAGCAGACACATTAGTAATAGTACCATGACACCTAATAGTTTTTAGGATTTGGTGAGAAAAGATATAATGTGCACAGCTTTGATAAGCAGAGATGTCTGAAAGAACAGCAACAGAATATGGCTCAGCAAAATCTGCCAGCTTGACAGCAAAGAATTTTACATATGCTCTGTCGGCATTTGGGGGGGAAAGACAGCACCGTGATTGTTATATGATTAAATACTACAAAAACCATAAAGTTAAATATTTACATTTTGGAGCCTCCAGAAAGCAGGCCAATATTTTCTCAGTGGGCTTTAGTTGTATGCTTAGAGGAACACAAGTACTGTTTATACTCTGTCCATGTTGGAGGCACGTTAAAATGACAGATTGGGGACAGGTCAGAGCAAGAATGTGACAGAAGTAGAGCTAAATGGACTGCTGCAAGTCTCTCTGGGACATAACTTTCTTAAAGAAAAATACAACAACTCTAATTGTAGCTAATCATTGTCCCATCATGTTAAGTCTGACATTCAGAGATTTCTGCAAAGTGCTCTAATGACGACAGGGAGCCGCCTAGGCTGCAAGTGTTATGCATTAACAGGAGCTTTAGGCTGTTTTTTGCTGGAAGATGATAGATGACCTAGGCAGGCATGTCATTTCCTATTTTGTGCTTTCATTTTTCAGACCAAATTGCACTAAACCACAAAACCATCGTGTGTCCCATGATCGATGTCATTGACCACAATCACTTTGGGTATGAGGCACAAGCTGGGGATGCCATGCGAGGAGCCTTCGACTGGGAAATGTACTACAAAAGAATCCCCATCCCTCCAGAGCTCCAGAGGGCAGATCCCAGCGACCCTTTTGAGTGAGTAGCAGCTGAAGGAGGGGTGAAGGGACAGAGGGTAGGTGACAGGTAACGTTTCCTGCATGTCAAACCCAGAACTCATGAGGACAATTATCCCTGATGAAATGTAATAAAACAGGTGGTAACAATATGCAAAACACCAGAGAAAGGTCAGACCTACAAGCTATAGAAGATTAAAATTACATGCTGTGTTAAATACATAGATTGCCCCTTCCTAAAAGCTGCTAAGCATAAGAAAAAGGGTGTGTTGATGAAAAGAATCAGAAAAACACATAGTTAACAGGAAATACAAGGAGGCCTGCTCAACATTCCCCTTCGAGATGTTCTCATCTGATTTTCAGTTCGTTTCATTCTTTCTACTTTTCCCTAAAGGAGTACTGAAATTAACAATTAGTTCTTTTTTATTGGGGATTGATACAAAATAGGAAACAGAACTTAAGCCTATATTCTGCAGGTTTTCATTTTTGCTGAAAACTGATGTTCCTGAATAGATGTCTCCATAACTTCAACGTGGAACATTCAATCAAAAGACATATCCAAAGTAAATAATCTATTCCCCTACCCCTCATTTAAGTACTAGCCAGAGAACTTAAAATAGTCTATTGACTGATTTCCACAAAACTAAATTCTTTTTATTGTTACTGTTTTTTATGGGGATAAGGAATAAGAATTGTGCTTTGCAAA